CAGTTTGTTGTTGAAATAGAAATGTGCTTAAATTAAATAAGAATGGTTTTAAACATGTATTAATGTACATGCACTTGTTCACTTCTTACCTTTGAGAGACCACATCTCCCTCCCTCCCCCCTCCTTCTCTCCTTAAGCCTCAACTTCCACCTGTCTTTGGTAGTGTAGTACAGTCCTCCCCTGCAAGCAGTGATTTCAAGAACACAGTACCCATGTTCCGTCAGCAACTACTAGTACTTCTCCTTCATGCTCATTGCTGTCAGCAGAAGGAGAAAGAACAGCAGGCACACGGTGGGTTTAGACCCTGTGCTCTGCCACACTGTAGGACAATGAAGAATGTTCTGAATCACATGACAGAGTGTAAAACATTGAGCTACTGTCAATGTAAGGAAAGCACAATGATAATGTTTTTATGAACTGTCCCATAATTCCATTGCGTGTGTATCACTTCTCCCTTCCCCCTCTTTTTCCCTCTCTCTCTCTAGTTCGTTTTTGTTCTTCTTCAAGACAGGTCATTTATCACTGGAAGAACTGCAACCAGCAAGAGTGTCATACATGTAAACCCATAAGAGCTGTTAGAAAAGGTACCTTTTATTTAATTAACTAGTAGATATAAAATATTAGAGCCTCTATAAGTCTTAGTGAGGAGAAATACATGTATTTGTACATGTAAATGCTCGTTACATGCATGTGTACAAGATAAAGTAAACTAAAACTTATTGTGTATTATTTAGGATATTATAATTTGATGCAAGCCTTTTGTGCATCAGAGTCTGTATTTCAAAGTGTAATAAAATCATGTGAAATTCATGAAATCATCAGCACAAGTCAGGTATCAATGTTTCTTGACGACAAAGTGCCTTTACAAGGCAGAATCAGACAGTTCATGCATTATGTGATGTCTAAATTATCTTTATATCAAAGCAGCAAATTCCTTTATGTTCTTACTGAATTTGGAAACAGTGACACTCAACAAAGTGCAAGGCTAATAATTGGAGTATTTGGTAAAAATATATAAACATGTTACTTTACGCATTATAAATTATTTCAGCTTTCTCTAGACAAACAATTTATCCACAATATAGTCATTTACTAGATACTGATACTCCTAAGAAGCAAATATCATCAGGTATATGTAAGAACTTTATTCATGTTGAAAATTTGGATGGTTTTTCCCATTTACGATAAGATATTGTATGGCTAGTCTCAGACTATGATACTTTGCTACCATAAAGATTTGCAGTATAATTTTTCTAATTTTATTATTCTACCATGCCTAGTTGCAATTAGTTGACCAATCAAATTGCTTGATTTCAGGTTCATAAATGGTAAATGACTTATTTACAACCAAGTTTCTCAGGAGGTTAAAGTAAATTCTCAGGAGGTTAATAAATAGCCTTGGGGGTTCCTATAAATGCAATTATGGGCCTCTTGCTGCGCAATGTGATGAACTGATGGCAAAATTTATTTCTAAGCAAGATAACTATATCAAGAATTAAACATTAGAAATATGACATCAATAAAATTATTGTTATCTAATATAATAAACTAGAAGAATGTAAAACATTAAAGGGCTCAGCCCCTGAGCCACACTATATTGTTGTGCTGTAGGACATACATGTACAGGCCATGCATGAGCAAGAAAAGCATTGAACATTAGTACCATTACGCTATCTACCATAGGGTCAAAGATTTTTAAATGAATTTTCCTGTATTTTTCAGGTCATTCTGCTGTACAGTATTATTTTATTTTATTTATTGAGTAATACTGTAACAATTAAGACAGCAACCAACCCACCCATGCTTGCTCCTTATATGAAGTGGGTGTGACCACAGCAAACAAAATGGCAGTTAGTCTGGGTACAGCCAAACTCCATTCTAAAAATTAAGAATTGCAATATGCAACACAAAGTTTTGAGTTTTAGTAATAGAAATAAAGACTTTCAGAATTAGAAGGATGCAAGGCAATGAAACAATCTTA